ATGGAAAATGTCAATATCATGTAATAGAAATTTTAATTTAATTAGTTAAAGTAAATTAATTTAAGTTTTAATTAAATGTGAATAGTTTACACGCTTGAATCAAAAGGCAGAGATTGTCAGACTGGATGAATAAGCCAGATATGAATGCACACTAGCTACAAGAGACAACTCTTAGATTCAAAGATGCCAGCCAGCGGGTTAAAAGGAAAAGGATGGGACAAAGACACTGTGAAAACAACCACCATAGGAGAGCTGGGAGTGACCCCCTTGATATCAGATGAAACAAATGTTAAGACAAGAAATATTACCAGAGGCAAAGAGGGACATTTCATAATGGTAGAGGGGTCAATCTATTGGGAAAATATAAAAATTATAAATGTACACACCCCTCAGAGCCTCGAAATACATGAAGCAAAAACTAAACAGAATTAAAGGGAGAAACAGACAATTTGACAACAGCATCAGAAGAGGTGTTGATACCCCACTTCTGATGATTGGTAGAACAACTAGATTTTAAAAATCAGCAAAGGGGGTGCCTGGGTGGCTCAGTCGTTGGGCGTCTGCCTTCGGCTCAGGTCATGATCCCAGGGTCCTGGGATCGAGCCCCACATGGGGCTCCCCGCTCAGCGGGAAGCCTGCTTCTCCCTCTCCCACTCCCCCTGCATGTGTTCCCTCTCTCTGTGTGTCTCTCTCTGTCAAATAAAATCTTTTCTTAAAAATTTTTAAAAAATAAAAATCAGCAAAGATGCAGAAAACTGGAGGACCCGATCATACAACTAGTGGACCCAGTGACTTTGGGACACGCCTTCTTTCCAAGCACACATAGAACGTTCTCCAGGACACACCATGTACCAGGCCATAAAACAAGCCTCAATAAACATAAAAAGACTGAATTCACACTAAGCATGATCTCTGACCACAATGGAATTCAATTAGACATTAACAACAGAAAGATCCATGAAAACCCAAAATATTTCAAAATTGCTCAACACACTGCTGAGTAACTCAAGGGTCAAGAGGAAGTCACAAGAGAATTAGAGACTATTTTTAAATTGGTGAAAATCCCTGCAATATACAAAAATGTGCGGCGTGCAGTCAACACCATGCCTAGCAGGGAGTTTGTAACCTCAAACGCCTACGTCAGAAAAAAGAATGGTCTTAAATAATCAAAGTTTCCACCTAAAGAAGCTAGAAAACAAAGAGCAAACTAAGCCCAAAGCATGCAGAAGAAAGCAAACAAGAAATATGAGACCATACATCAATGAGATAGAAAACAGAAAAGTGAGAGAGAAAATCAATGAAACTGAAAGCTGTTTCTTTAAAAAGGTAAAAAAAAAAAATTGACAGACTTTTAGCTAGACAGAAAAAAAAACAATAGAGACACACAAATTCCTGAAATCAAGTATGAAAAAGGCGGCATCATCACCAACCACCCTGAAATGAAAGAGATTATAAAGGAACACCATGAACGACACCAACAAAACACACAACGTAGATAAACGGACATGTTCCTAGAAATACACAAGTTACCAAGCTGACTCAAGATGAAACATGAAATCTAAACAGAGCTGCAAAGAAGAAATGGAATTAAGAATTTAAAATCTTCCCACAAGAAAGGCCCAGACCCACTTGGCTTCACTGGTGAATTCTACCATTTAAAGAAGAACACCAATCCTTCACAAACTCTCTGAGAAAATGGAGGGGGGTAGGTAGGTAACACTTCCCAATTCATTTATTCCTTGTTAAATTGAAACAAAAATCCTTAAAATATCAGCAAATGGAATCCATCAACATGGAAAAATGATTCTACACCATGACCTGATGGGATCTATCCCACAAAAGCAAGGTTGGTTTAACATCCAAATATCAATTAATGTAATGTACCATATTAATAGAACCAAGATTTCCATCACACGATTATGTTGCAGAAAAAGTCTTTGAAAAAATTCAGTATCCATTGATGATAAAAATTCTCGACAAACTAGAAGAAGAAAGGAACTTCTCAGACCGGCAGAAGACAATGCAAATATCCACAGTTAACAGCTACCATTGGTGTTGGTGAAAGACAAACAATGCTTTCCCCCTGAGATGAGAAAGAAGCAAGCATGTCTGCTCTTACCACTTTTATTCACAGATTCTCACCAGGGCAGTAAAGCAAAGTAATCATCAAAAGCATCCAGATTCAAAGACATCAAACTATCTTTGTTCACAAATGACATGGTTCCTTACATAGAAAATCCCCAGAGACCCATAAAGACACAATAATAGAACCAATAAACAAATTTAGCAAGACCACATGATATACAAGATCAATATATAAAAATCAACTGTATTTGTGTATACTAGCAACAAAAATCCAAAAATGAAATTAACATATCAATTCCATTCACAATAGCATCAGATAGAGTAAAATGCTTAGGAATAATTTTATTTTATTTTATTTTTTTTAAAGATTTATTTATTCATTTGAGGGAGCGAGAATGAGAGAGAGTACATGAGAGGGGGGAGGGTCAGAGGGAGAAGCAGGCTCCTCGCCGAGCAGGGAGCCCGATGCGGGACTCGATCCCGGGACTCCAGGATCATGACCTGAGCCGAAGGCAGTTGCTTAACCAACTGAACCACCCAGGTGCCCGCTTAGGAATAATTTTAACAAATGAGGTGCAAGACCTACACTGAAGTCTACCAATGTCGCTGAGGGAAATTAAAGATGATGTGACTAAATGCAGAAACATTCCATGTTCATGGATTGGAAGACTCAATATGGTCAAGGTGGCAGTTCTCCACAAATTGATCTATAAGTTGAATGTAATCCTCATCAAAATCTCATTGGGCTTTTTAGTAGAAATTGGTAAGCTGATCCTAAATTTTATATGGAAATGCAAAAGAACTAGAATTGCCCAATGTTTAAAAAGAAGAACAGGGGTGCCTGGAAGGCTCAGTCAGTTAAGCATCTGACTCTTGATTTCAGCTCAGGTCATGATCTCAGGGTTGTGAGATCGAGCCCCACATCGGGCTCAGCGTGGAGTCTGCTTGAGATTCTCTCTCCCTCTTCCTCTGCCCCTCCCCCTGCTTGCTCTCTAATAAATAAATAAATAAATAGATAAATAAAATCCTTTTTTAAAAAAGATTTAAAAAGAAGAACGTTGGAAGACTTACACTACCTGATCTCAAACTTACAGCTAAGCTTCAGCAATCAAGAGAAGGAGACATTTATGGGAGGATAGATATATAGACCAATAGAACAGAATGAAAAGTCCAGGAACAAACCCTTACACCTAAGGGTAATAGATTGTTAACAAAGGTGCTAAGAGAGTTCGATGGAGTGAAGGAAAGTCTTAGATCCAGAATATATAAACAACTCTTAAAACTTAAGAAGACAGGGGGTGGGAGAAAAGCCATTGAAAAATGGGCAAAAGAAATGAACAAACATTCCACCAAGGAAGACAGGCAAATGGTCAAGCACATGAAAGGATCATGTTCAACACCGTTAGTCACTGGGGACATGCAAATCAAAACCACAGGGACAGAGCACTGCACGCCCACTCAGGGGCCACAACGAAGGACAGGTGGAAAGGACCAAGAGCTGGAACCACGCGCCCCGCTGTGGGAACGTCCAGTGGCACCACCACTCTGGAAACTAGTTGATGGTTTCTGAAAAAGTTCTCATGAGCTCTATGCAACCCTCCACATCTTGGAGCCTCGCGCTCCTCGTCGGTGAGATCAACTTGATGATAGCAGTGCCCACTCCACAGGGACGTAAGCGCGCTTCCACTCTTTCCAAGAATCCACCCAAGAGACCCAGAACCTGCGTCCACACAAAGACGTACCCATGGCTGTTCATGGCAGCAACATTCATAACAGCCCCAACCTGGAAACTTTCCCAACGTCCACAACTGAGAACAGATAAATAAAATGTGCCAGACGCATGCAAGAAACACTGTTTCATGCAATAAAACACTGTTTTATTGAAAAATGAATGACTAACTGATCGTGCCACAACATGCAGGAACCTCAAAAGCACACCAAGCCAAAGAAAGCCAGACTCCAAGTACCACATATCATGTGTCTACATATTGTATTTATTTGCAATGTGCAGAAAAGGCAAACGCATAGAACCCGAGAGCAGATCAGTGGCTGCCTCCGGTGGGGGTGGGGAGTGGCCACCAATGGGCACAGGCTGGGAGACCAGGGGTCAAGAGATGGTTGCACAAATCTGTAAGTGTACTGAAAGTCACCAAGTGGTTTACAACAGGTGGATTTTATGATGTGTAAATTATATCTCAGTAAGTCTGTTTTTAAGACAGAAAGAAATGTGCCTCAGTGGGACTTTCATCTTCCATTCTCCATGCGGTCACCTACCAGCTGCTGGTACAAGGTGAAATGGCAGGTGACTGAGAGGTGAGCATTTCTCACCTCGCCCTCGTCACCCTCATCAGCCCCACAACGTCCCTGTGAGGTGGGTATTGCTCTTGTCATCCCCATTGTGTGGATGGAGAGACTGAGGCTCAGAGAAGCTGTACCTATTGTGTAAAATAAGGGAGTAACAGTCTGGGTCAAGCCCAGCCCACACTCCTACCCCCTTCCCTCTGCCCTCAAGGAGCTCGCCCTCCTCCCCCTTCTCCCCCTGCTTGGGCCCAGCTTGTCACTGCAGAGCCAGCCTAAAAGCCTCCACCCTGGGAGCTCCCCGCCTTCCCACTGGGTGACAGACCCCCCCCGACCTTTGCTACTTGTGCGTTTGGGCACATACTCCCTCTCCAGGCGTGCGGAACAGGATTCCCACTCACAGCCTCCTGCCCTGAGCTTCCTCCTTCCCTACAGCACAGCTCCCACTCGGAGGGGAACCCCTTCGTGCCTTGGCCTGATTCTTGGTGTGCCTGTCCTCCCTGCCCCACTAGACCTTGAGGGCTGGTCAGTGGAGTGGAGTCTGTAATGGGTTGACTCATGTCCCCCCAAAAGACATGTCCAAGTCCTAACTTCAAGAACCTGTGAATATGACTTACTGGGAAGGAGGGTCTTTGCCGATGGACTTAGTCAAGGATCTCGAGATGAAGTCTTCCCGGATTTAGGAGGGGCACTAAATCCAATGACTAATCTCCTTATAAGAGACAGAAAAGAAGACACAGAGGGGAAGACCATGTGAAAATGCAGGCAGAGATCAGGCGACATGTCTACAAGCCAAGGAACACCATGGAAGCCACCAGAAGCTGGGAGAGACACCTGGACAGATTCCTCCTTCAGAGCCTCCAAAAGGAGCCAACCCTGCCAACACCTTGATTTTGGACTTCTGGCCTCCAAAACTCTGAGAGCATAACTTCCAGTTTGTGGTCATTTGTTATGGCAACCTCAGAAAACTCACACGGTGTGTGTGTGGAGGGGCGCCTGGGGGGCTCAGTCGGTTGGGCGTCCAACTCTTGATTTCAGTTCAGGTCACGATCTCAGGGTCGTGAGATGGAGTCTCACATTAGGCTCTGCACTGAGTGTGGAGCCTGCTTAAGACTTTCTCTCTCCCTCCCCCTGCTCACACACTCTCTCTCTCTAAACACACACACACACACACACACACACAAGGTCCATGCCCCGTTCACTGCACTGCCAGTCCCACACAGGGCTGGCCCCATCTGGATGAACCAGAAGCATGCCTGAGTCAAAACCTCCTTGCCTCTCGGATTCACCACCTGGAGCCCCTCCCTGACATGCTCAGAGTGGTCTGAGGATTGGTTTTTTCTTTTCTAGAAACTCTGATGTCGCAGCAGCATCCACTGGACTCCATCTGCCTCTCTTTATGGCAAGCACCTCGCCACGTTTAGAGCAAGAGGCTCTTGTCATCCCTATAAAACAGGAGAGGAGAGAGACCACTTAGAATGAATCCCTTGAGATCAGAAATCAAATGTCCTGGTAAGTAGTAGGGACCAGTGGGAAAGGACTTTGAAACAACAATGAGCATCAACAGAGACCCAAGAGGGCTTTTGGAGCCGAACGCTCTCCTTCGTGCTCCAAGTGCAGGTGACACAGGTGTGTTCAGGCTGAGAAAGCACAGTGTCCTCACCATATGTGCCCTTCTGAGTACCTGTAGGCGGTAGTGCCGCGAGCAGTTTTACAAGTGGAGCCAAGAATTATGAACATCAACTCATTTCACCCTAATGCAACGAAACTTTAGATAAAATTGGAACAAAGTGCTGACTTTTAGGACCAGCTAAATGTAAGTCAAGGCTTACAGGGGCGTGTTTCCTGGGGTGATTTTTCCAACAAAGTCCTGTGAGGGCATCGTACAATGTCCCTCGTGTCCTTTTTCCTTGACAGCCCCACTGTGATGCTGAATTTTACGTGTCACCTGGACTTGGCCGCCAGATGCCCAGCTAGCTGGTTAAACATTCTTTCCGAGTGTGTCTGAGGGAGTTTCCAGAAGAGATTAGCATCTGGATTGGCAGACTGAAGAAAGCAGATGGGTGAGCCTCGTCCAATCCAGTGGAGGCCTGGACAGAACAAACAGGGAGAGGAAGGGCGCATTCGCGTTCTGCGCTTGGGCCCGGACACTGATACCCTGTGACCGGTCTCCTTGTGCTCAGGACCACAGACCCGACTGAACGTACACCACCAGCTCTCAGGCCCACCTTCGAGCCACACCGCCAGCCTGCGTCACGTCATGTGAGCCAACATCTAGAATGAGATTTATTATAAGGACTTGGCTCACATGGTTATTTTCCTAGATGTGTCTCCCCACCGACTCTGTTTCTCTGGAGAACCCTGGCTAATAGAACCACCCCAGAGAGTTCTTTCTCGACCATATTTGAATGTCCTCTTGGGGAGCCCGCCTCGTGCTCACCTTGCCGATCCTCCATTCCTCACCCGCTCCCCTTCTGACACCACAGACCTGGCTGGCCAACTGCCTGTGACCCCAGAGGCTCTCCGGCTCCACCTACCAAACTCTGCCCCTTTGCTGGGAGTCACAGCTTCCCCCACTGTCTACGTCATGTTTGCCTGATTTGGGAAGAGTCCCACCATCTGGGGGACAGTGGCCAACGGAGACCTTACAAGTGAGAGGGGTCTCCACGTCAGACAGGACAGCAGTGGTTATGGACCACCCTGTGTGTGGTCAGTCATACTAGATACCAGGGCAGCCCTCACAAAGCCCCACGAGCTGGGGGGCTTAAGCCAATTCATTCTCTCTCACTTCTGGAGGCCAGAAGTCCAAAATTAAGGGGCTGGTGGGGCGGGTCCCTTCTGAGGGCTCCAGAGGAGAGTCCTGGTCTTCTCCCACTCGTAGGGGCACCGGGCTCCTTGCTGATCCCTGCCAGCAGGGCAGCATCTTCCATCTGTCTCTGACCTCGGCTTGCGACCTCACATCTCCCTCTTGTGAGCATGCTTGTGATTCTGCTGGCCCCACCTGGCTAATCCAGGAGAGCCTCTCCATCTCAAGATCCCTAACTTTTCCACTTCTGCAAAGCTTCTTGCCATAGAAGACAACACGGTCACAGGTTCTGGGGACTCGGGTAAGGACATCTTTGGGGGGCCATTATTCTGCTCTGCACAACCACCTTCACTCCCCTGTCTGGCCACCCCTCGCTCCTTGCTCTCCCCTAACTGCCTAGAGCCCACTGATGTCCGTCAGGACGTTCTTCCTCCCTCCTCCGGCCACCTGCCCACCCATGTCCTGCAGCTCTGCATCCTGGTCAGGGACAAGCTGTCCACGTTTACAACTGAAAGATTCAAACCGCTGACCAATCTCCTATTCGCCGGGGGGGGGGGGTGCTTTGAAGAAGGCATTGACTGTCTCAGAAACTCTACCCCATTCTCTCGACAATGAGTCTCATGCTCCCTGCCGTGTCCAGTGTGGAAGGGAGACTCATCTCTGTCCAGCCCCTTCTTAGCCATCACCCCCCAGTTAGGGTAACGGGCAGGTGAGTGGGCCACGTGGACAGGTGAGCCAGGGACATCAAAAGCCATGCAAATCTGCCTGAGGCTTCTGCTGTCCAGGTGATGCATGGGTAAATGGCGCATGACTTGGCTTCCCCAGATGGACATTTTCCTCCAGGGGCCATCCACAAGGGCCCTGAGCTCAAGACTTGGATTCAAAAGTAAGAGTGTCCCACGGGGGCCTTGAATCTCAGACGTGCACCATACCCCAGCATTGACAAGAGTCCCACATTCCATCCGGGTGCTGAGCACTCGTGTCAAAGCAATAAAGAGCAAGGAGCTCTAGACAGTTTGGGGAGAGCAGGGAGCTCTAGGAGTCCCAAGAGATAGAGACAGAGAGGGCTTGGCACGTCTAGAGTCGTGCAGGTCTGGGGGCCTGACCACTCAGCAGCATCAAAACCGAGTACTGTTACTCCCGATGCCTACCCAACGGGCTGTTGTGGGACTGAGTGAGACGTGAGGGGCTTCATAAGTCCAGCTAAAGTCCAAAACCACCATGGACCCTGTGTCCATCGAGGGATGGATGGATAAACAAAGTGTGGGAAATCCACATGATGGAATACTATTGAGCCTTAAAAAGGTGGGGCGCCTGGGTGGCTCAGTCAGTTGAGCATCCAACTCTTGATTTCAGCTCAGGTCTTGATCTCGGGGTCCTGGGATCGAGCCCCGCATCGGGATCCCTGCTCCACAGGCAGTCTGCTTGTCTCCCTCTCCCTCTGCCCCTCCCGTTGCTCTCTCTCTCTCTCTCTAATATATAAATCTTTTTTAAAAAAGGAGCGATATTCTGACACACACTACAACATGGCTGGACCTGGAGAGGACACGGTGCTCAGTGAAACAATCCAGGCACAAAAGGACAAATCCAGCGAGTCCAGTGACACGAGGAATCTAGTTGTCAAACTCCGAGACAGAAAGTATTCTGGTGGTGGGCGCCAGGGGCTGGGGAGGGGCTGGGGTGGTTGTCATTTAATGGGGACAGAGTTTCCATCCTACAAGATGAAGAGAGATCTGGAGCTGGGTGGGGAGACGGCATGGTGCAAACGTATTCAATGCTACTGAACTATAAACTCAAAAAACCGTTACAATAGTAATTTTTATGTGATGTGTTCTTTGCCAGTTTGTTTGGTTTTTTTTACACGTTATGAATTACCACCATCACCTTTATCATTTCCCCCACCTTCCTCATCCTCGTCTTCATCCCCATCAGGGCGTCAGGCTGGGGTGGCTACAGGTTTCCTCCCGCGACCTGCTGACTCTCGTGCCCGGAGCTCGCCGGAGATCAGGCTTCAGCGGGAGGCAGAGCCTGATCCAGGAGCAATGGGCGCCCAGGGCTCAGGCTTGCACACCAATCCTGCTGGAGGACCCCCCGAGACATGCATGTCGCCCAGGGGAGCCGGTCTGGCGAGGCACCTGCGAGGGGAGAAGGAACGTTGCTGGAGCCCCCACGGGAAACAAGGAGAACGCTCCCCAGGTCCACGTGGAGTGGGTGCTCTTCCCAGCTCCCTTTTGGAACTGACGAAATCTGATAGGTTTGGAACGGAGGGAGGAGGGCAGGGCTGTCGGGCAAGTTCAACCGGGGAAATCACACAGCAGTCCCGGTGGTTAAGTGTGCTAAGAGGTGACTGACCAGATGATTGAAATACGTTTGTACTAAAAATATTTTTAAAGCACTCATCTTGATTTATACCCGAAAGAAAATACCGCAGAGGAGAATGAGTTTTTAACTCGAGTAGCACTTATGCCTGATCTAACTAAATTAGCTCCTTTGAACTGCTGGTTTTGCTCTATGCCTGTAATAAAAATAACAATAATGTGCATTTAGAGGGTGTTTTTTCCTCTAGAAGCACAGGACTTCCGCGGTGAACAATTCCCCTCATCTGTGCAGACCAGCGGGGTGAGGGGCGAGGGAAGAGGGAAGAGGGGGAGGGGGCGGGCACGAGTTTCCCAGCAGCTGATCACGTTTGGTAAAATCAGCAAATTTCAAATACACGAGAAAGTGGATTTCAGGGTGCTCTGAGAAGCCTAGAGACAGATGGGCCAGAAGTCAGGTCTTTCCCTCTGTCTGGAACAGAGTTATGTCCCCCAGTGTGGTGGTATTTGGAGGCAGGGCCTTTGGGAGGTGACTAGGTCAGGAGGTCATGCGAGTGGGCCCCCCACCCCGGGATGGGATCTGTGCCCTTCTAAGAGAGGGAGAGACACCAGAGCCCCCTTTCTCTGCCTGGAGGGATGGCTCCCAGTCTCTGTCCTGCGCTGACACGAGGGCCTGAGGATACAGCCCCTCTTGACTGGCGAGCATCACCCTTTCTGGGTTGTCCATCGGGAAGTAGCATGGGTCAAAGGAAGGGATTTGCCCAACACCAAGCTGCTGGAAGTTCCCATGGCCCCTCTCCCGGCACCCCCATACACCCTGCCCACGTCTTTAGGTGACTCCTTAGCTTACACTCCCCAGCCCCTCTGTCCTGGCTAACCCATTTCTACCCACCTGTTCAAATGAAGCTCATTCACGATCACCTCCTCCAAGAAGCCCACCCTGACCACCCACATCCTCAGGCAGTGGCAACCCCCATCCTCCCACAGCCCCCACTCCCCACCCCGACTGCATGTTGTCACTGTCTTTGTGCATGTCAGCTTCCCCCACTGGAGGGTAAGCTGTCCGGGGCAGAGCCTGCAAATTACCCTACTGTGTCCGGGTATCCAGCACAGAACAGACTCAGGGTGGGGCTCGATGCTCGCCACCAGCAGGCCCGGCCCCATCACAGGCTCTGGGAACAGATGGGAACAGACCGTTCCCCGAGCCTGAAATTTGTAGTCAGTGGCTCACTATAGCTCACAGCCCAGCCTCCAATTTAAGAATCCCACTATCCCAACTTGGGAAAACACGTCCCATCCCAACACAGGTATCAGAGTCCAGCCCTAAAATCACAGCCAGGGCCATTTCTGGAGTGAGTCCTGTGTGCCACCCACGGGCCAGCTCTTCGCCTGAGTCCCCTCCCTCAACCTTATGTGACGAGCATCCTCACCCCATTTCACAGAGGAATAAACTGAGGCTCCTGGAGGGACCTGCCCAGGGCCCCGTGGCTAGCAAGGGGCAGGGCAGGGCTGGGACTGGATCCCATGTCTGTCTGAGTCTAAAGCCAGAGGTTCTCACCTAGAGTCTGGACCACCATGAAGGCAGCTGGGTCAGTGGGGAGAGAGGGATGGGCCCGCGGCCAGAGAGAGCCAGAGATTGTCCATTGTTCTGGAACTCGGGTCCCAGGACCAGAGCCTTCCCTACAGCAGTTCTCACTCACTTACGCAGCAGTAAGCTTTTCTTTCTTTCCGTATTTGGCATTTTGCTTCATGTTGGGACTATTTTCATTGCAGGCGACAGCATCCCAGGCTGAGAGCAAGCATGGACACGGGCACAGAGGTGTGGACTGGCGTGAGGCATTTACGCAGCCCTAAATAACTCAGGGCAGGGTCTGCCATGCGGTTGGCAGGGAAGAGCATGGTGGCCCAAGGCTGCAGCGGTGAGCTGGGGCACAGTTCCGAAGGCCCCAGATCTCATCCTACAAGCAAGATGGGGTCACTGTGGGCTCCTGAGACAGAGGGGGCCCTGGCCCTTTCGCCCATTAGAAAGCGCACGCTGGAGGCCAGCAGGCAGACTGGTGGGTGCTTCTGTGCCTTTACTGTTTGAATTATGAGCTGGTGCTTCTTCTCTCCACGAAGTCACCATGTCACCCCCACCGCAACCCCCTGAGAGGCCAAACCCGGACTCCGTGCCTTCCCTTGGCCCTGTGAGGCTTCCTACCCTCAGGCAGCCTCTGTCCTGCCCTCCTTACTCAGTTGGGTGAGACAGAAAACCCAGGTAAAGACAAGCCAGACCAAGACATGAAAGGACATTCGCTTTCCTCACGGAAAACCACGCAGGCCCCAGAAAGCCAGGGAGCTCACGGGCAGCAATTCTAAGACTTCCCAGATGAATAATACATGAATAATCATGTGACTTTGCCTTTTTAAAGTGCTTAATCTAAGGGCTTTAGGCCCTTTGAAAATCATGAATTTGATTTCAGGGAACGTTCCCTAAACACCTCCTCTCTACGCTGGGCATGGGTAGTTCCAGAACCCCGGGCTTCCGGGAAGGAACCACGGGGTGCATGGGTGCCTCGCTCTGAGGGGAAGGACGAGGGCTCAGGGAAAGGGCTCTTGCACAGGCCCAGTTGGTGTGGCGGACACACGAGGGACGGTGTTTCTCTCCAGGGTCAAAGCAGGAAGGGTCATGACTCCTAGGGAACACCAAAGGTGGTAGATGAGGGAGGGGCCCCTGGACAGGAGCCGTGGCCCAGGGAGGTGAGCACGGCCACCTTCAGAACCACGGCCAGGCAGGCAGGAAGGAAGGAGAAATGGCCTGGCCTCTCTGGGCCCGCCCTCCAGACTCTGGCTGGTGCCTCCCACTGGCTGAACCCCACAGCAAGTCTGAGGCCAGCCTGGGTGAGCACATGCCCAGAGGGCGGCCTTCGGGGCCGGCGCAGGGCCGGGAAGGGCGGTGTGGGGGCAGGGCCTGCGGGCGCCAACCAGGCCTGGCCTGCACCCTTTCTGGGGCACTCAGAAGTACAAGGACCGCATGTGGTCGTGACACCACTCAGGATGCAGATGTATTTCCTACTGTCTTTTTACAGCTGCACCAGCTATAGGGGGGTGAGCTGTGTCCCCCCCAAATTCATATGTTGAAGCCCTAACCCCCAATACCTCGGAATGTGACTGTTGGAGGGAGAGTCTCTCAAGAGGTGACTAAGTGACCGTGAGGTCATCTGGGTGCGCCCTGAGCCAGGATGGCAGGTGCCCTTGGAAGAGGAGATCAGGACACGGACATGCACAGAGAAGGACCGCGTGAGGACACGGAGGGAAGCCAGTGGTCCTCACGCCAAGGAGAGAGACCTCGGAGGGAACCAACCTGCCCTTGCCTTGGTCTCGGGCTTCCAGCCTCCAGAACGGGAGAGAACAACTGTCTGCTGTGTCAGGCCCCGCCCGGGGTGCTTTGTTAATGGCAGTCCCAGCAAACGAAGACAGAGGGACTCACCACAGGGAGCACAGCCAGGAAGCGGGGATCTGGGATCCCAGCCTCGTCTCCCAGCCTCCAGAACCTGCGAGCCTCCCCTGCCACGGGGCCGAGGGGCGTCCGGGCTGAGCCAGCGATGCCCCCAGCCCCCGCACATGACCGGACGGTTACAAGTGGCACTGAGAGGCGCCCACCACCGCCACGGCCTGTGTTTGGGGCCTGATGTACTTACTTCCTGCCAGACCCCGAGGTCTCATTCCCGAGATGCTCTAAGAGGTGTCTATTAGGAACGGCGTCTAATCCCGCTCACGAGGTAGGTAATGCTAAGCAGACGCCCCTTGTTTCATGGGGAAGGGAGGGAGACAGCAGCTTCTAACCCCCTAGATCAGAATTCTGGGTGATTGGGGGACGCTGGCCCAGGAGTCACCCTGACGGTTCCTCTCTAAACCCACCGTGGCCTTTTCCTGGGGAACTAAGGTCTCTTCAGGGCTTCACGGCCCAAAACAGGTGGCAGAGAGAATGACACAGGGATCCAAGTTGGGGGCACATATCCCTTATCCACCGTGACCCAAGTCAGAAGTACTCTGGCCCAACACTTGAATGCAAGGTGCTTTTTCCCCCCTTTCCTACTCCACGGTGTTTATTCATTTCCCAGGGCTGCCCTAACAAAGTGCCACCCCCTGAGGGCCTTCAACGACAGGACCTTATTCACCCTGCAGCCCTGGCGGCTGGAGGTTCTGGATCATGGCTTCCGCGGGCTGTGGGAGCATCGGCTCCAGGCCTCCCTCCGAAGTGCTGGGTTTGCTGCCGTCTCTGGCCTTCTTCCTGGGCCTGGACACCTCCGCCTTCATCTGCATGGGGCGCATTCCCTGTGCATGTCTGTCTCCGGCCCCAAACTTCCCCTTTTCGTAAGGACACCAATCACGCTGGAGCAGGACCCACCCTAACGGCCTCGCTTTCACCTGAACGCCTGTAAAGACCCTGTCTCCAAATAAGGTCACATTCTGAGGTCTTGGGGGTTAGGTCTCCAGCACATGAGTTAGCGGGGGACACATCTGAATCCACGACACAGGGTAATACACACACACAGAAGTATGTGAAACAGAAGCGTCCAGCTTCACAGCGGTTCTAACCCATGTCCTCCAACGTCAAGAAGGAGAACATGGTAGGCCCCCGGGCGCCCCTCGGCCCTTCCTGATGGTAAGCCCCAGAGGTCACCAGGATCCTGACACTGGTGTCATGGTGGCCTTGCTGGGCTGGGTAGTGTGCCCCCATGGCACGTCCAAACCCAGAGCCCATCTTGGCCTGTTAGCCGAACATCACATAAACGGAATCATACCCTGGAGTCTGCCTTCTTCCACGTAACACCATA